CAATATCCTGTCAGTTAAATCGTGTTTAATCAAGTCCTAGTTTTGAACAAAAAAATGACTTATTATTTCCGATCCTTGACTGTGATTTTCACACGCTTGCTGGATTCATAGCTCTGAAAGTAATTTCAGAGAGCCATTCTGTTCACAACTAACACATGCGCTTTACGACAGTGACCATCCTTGGTTGCAGGGGAAAAAAAAGTAATTGCGGCCCGGCCGAGGTGGCGAACTCGCGGGCCACTTGCCGCGGGTCCGCGCTGAATTTCACACGTTTGCCGGATCCGATTTATCATCACGGGAACTGCTGGGATCCCCTCGGCTAAAATATAATTTATGGAAGCGATAATCATTTCAACCTTGAACACGGAGATCCGCCGGGTCGCATCTTTCAGTTCACGGTAAATTTCCGTAGCTAACTAGAGGACAAGTGGCGTCCAGATTGCGAATATTATAACACAAGTGCATAGAGAGTCCTTATATTGACTGCATGAAAGATCACTTTTTTTGTAAATTCAACTTGCCGCTTTAGGTGTGACCACATTGTCTGAGGCATCAAATTCAAGGATCTTGTAGTTCCGTCTGCAAATTGTGCAGTTGGGGGTTCGAGTCCATCCCAGTGTGTCCTTGGGCAAGACACTTTACTCCAACCACGAGTGTGGTATATCAATGAGGGATGTAACTGTGAGGGGAGAGGTTGTGATGGAAATTGTGATGGAAATTGTGATGGTATTTAGTAGGTTTGAGGCCAAACATGTCAGCATTGAGCTGATCGAGATTATTGGGCAGGATTGTTTTTTAAAATCTTTATACTATCGTCTTTATTAAGCCAAAATGTCTTGTTTTACCCATGCCTAAAAACCGCGCGAAATCCTGCATCATTATATACCGAATACCTTTGACTACCGTCATGACAGTAACGAATATCAGTTATTGTATTGTTGTTTGTAGACTTTCACTGGTTCATTTTTATCATTCCGTGCGGATGCTCCAGGCAGGAGAGGCAAGAAGATAACCATATCAGTGACATCCAAAGGGAATAGTAAGGACAGTCGGAGAGATACCAAAAAAAATGACCACCGGGCACTATATAACGCCATTATGGCTACGGTGACCACGCAGATAACGTAATCTCCCTGTGGGTTGCAGTTGATATTATCGCATACGGCCGGGACACTAGACATCATCTGCCCCCGGGCAAAGCAGTTGATATTTGGCCATGATAGTCTGGCCCCGAGGGTCACTATCCCCCCCCCTTTTTTTTATTACTGATGCTGTAAGCGGCCATATAGCTGGCTCCAACACTCTTGAGTCGTATCTCAGTCCAACAGTTAAATTGATTTGGCATTGGGGCCCCCGGACACAAAAACCGAAGATTTCCGTGAGCAGAGGGGGAAATTCCGCAGACAAGTACACGCATGATTATTTTTTGCTTTAGAGAATATTATTTTGTTTAAGTGACTTGTGCTTGGTAAGATGAATCTCTCGAGTAGAGGATTGGTCTGTTCAGCCTGATTGAATTGAAGTCTTGAGATACATTTGTGGGTGCACCATAGTACTCGCACTTGGACCGATGACTTTTGACATGCCCGCAAACTGTCATTGATGGAGCAAACAGTGCATTACTGTTGGGCACTATTTTTTGTTTTTTTGTGTGTACAAGCATTACACTCACTGTGTGGACTTCCGAATAAAAGAGGTCAACATAAATCAGGTAGCAGCGACGTTGTGTGGACTTGCCCACGTCCACACAAGGTTTTCCCCTCTCTGGAAAACAGGTTGAGAGGCATTTTTGGGTTAGGTTTTTTTGTGGCAAAATGAAGAGAAACACTAAAGGGAATCATAGAAAACAATTTGGGTGTAAAGAGTTTTCACAGTTTGAATAAAATTAGTTTACTCACTGTTTTTCTTAACTACACGAAAACAAAGGAGTATCCACATTAGGTATGTAAAACAAACATGTCTGTATGTGTGTGTTTGTCTTATACAGTCACTATGTGGACATGTGAACAAAAGACGTCCACATAATGCAGGTTGTGTTGACGTTATGTGGACTAAGCCGTGTCCACATAACGTTTCGCCCTCTGGAAAACAGGTTTAGAGACATTTTCGGGTTAGGATTATCCGCCGCAAAATGAAGAGAAACATTCAAGGAAATCAAAAACAAATTTAGGGTTAAAAGATTTTTCACAGTTTAGGCCCCCCTAAGTGAAGTTATTTTTTTTACTGAGTTTTCTTAACTACACGAAAACAAAGGAATGTCCATACTAAGTAAAACAAACAAACAAACACCCCAACAAACAAACAAATATGTCTGAGTATGTGGGGGGGGGGGTGTTTGTTTGTTCACAGAAATTACAGAACATTGCCTTTGGGCCCTTTGATCACCCAAGAATTCTATTTGTTTATGTCCTACCATCGCTTCTACCCGTTCAATCTTCCTTCCAAAGTCCGTCACTGAAAACTGCAAATGTATAGGTGTCTTCGAATCTGTGTTGTAGTCGAGTACTTTTTTCCGAGTACCGAGTACTGCCGAGTACTTACGTTGCCAAGTACGAGTACCTGTACCTCCGAGTACAAGAACGGGTCTCCGAGTACTAGTACTTGTACTTCCGAGTACGAGTACTTTCCGAGTACGAGTACGAATACGAGTACTTGTATTCCCGAACACGGCCATACGGCAAATGGTTCATTGTGCGTAATTGGCCCAGGCCCAGTCAGACCGATATACAGACCCACTCATGGCTAGCTGTTAAATGTGTTTGTCTGGACTTGCACAGAGGAAAATCAGGAAATCTCGATTTCTCCACGAGCCAATCAACCATTTCAAACTGAAAGTATCGATAAAATATGGCCATGGTGAAGCTATAACATCCCCCCCCAGTACTGCTATTCGAGTACGAGTACTTAAATGATCGAGTACAATTTCGACATTTCGAGTACGAGTACTTTGCTGCCCGAGTACGAGTACCGTCATTTCGAGTACGAGTACTTTGACATTCGAGTACGAGTACGAGTACGAGTACTCCAAAAAAGTACTCGAGTAGCACTCGAGTACGAGTACCGAGTACGAGTACTACGGCAATGCTTCGAATCTCGTACCATGATTAATAATAACGCGGCCAACAAACCGTTTAAATATTGGCGAATTCTCCAGGGTGTATTCAAGAGTTTACGAGAAATATATTTATTGATATAACTATTTTGATAAATTAAATGTGATTTTTGTAGAAATCTGAACAACATCAGCAACACGAGTTACACGACAACGGCATTTTGAACCCTTTACTATAGTGGGGAATTATCCTGTTCTAAAATGGCGTTAAATTCAATATTTAATGTGGTCAAAACAGTAAGCATTCATATAACTTACTCTGATGGTGAACATCTAACATTGAATATAAAATCTCTTTTAATCACATTTTAGTGCATTTTTTTCACATCTAGTTACCCTTACAGCAGAAAAAAGGTTCCCCGCATACTCCCAAAATGAAAGTTATTTCAGAAATAAACGAACACTATCCCTATATATAGGCTAGTGGTCAATTTAGAAGTATTTTCAAACATTTCCTTTCAGTCAATATGGATTTAAAATACTTTGAAGTGAAGAGAAAAGTTGTAATCGTATATCCATACAAACAGCGGTCGCATGATTATCTCGACTTATATTTCGTATACTTTCAGTCAATGATGAGCCCTTTCTCGGAATTATTAGTGCCAGGAATTAAAGACAGACGTCACGTTCGACCCTTTAAGTTCTAAAACCACGCCGATTGGAATTCTGGCCACTCAGGTTTGCATTACTTTTAGGATGGAAATACATACAGGCCACATTTCAAATCCGAAATAATATTCATTGTATTCTGAAACTGAGTGGCTTTAGTTGCGATTCTGAGACATTAATACGGCAAGTCCCCGGTATATGCATATGCAATTAGTGTGAACTAAAGATAGTCGGTGTTTTTACTCGACCGCCGGATATTTTTAAGTTCATTTATTAATTTTTTTTTATGTTGAGGCCAATCCCCCGAGGCCTACATGGGACTCAGGTTGCCATAGATGGCATCTAATACAGATATAAATATATATCTTTATTGGAGATAGAGCGGCATTAACTTGTAAATTAAGGAAACCGCACCTATGGATGTTATTATCCATCGGTGGTTGCAGATGGTGGGCGGTTGACGTGTCCTGTGTACACTGCTCTGTGGCCGGCTTCTCAGGTTGGTCAGGTTCGTTGGAGGTCGCCGGTTCATTCACCTCCTGAAGGCTTTTATCTTGGAATTATCGAGCATCACTATATTTACCAATGACATACCCAGCTTTTGGGTGGGCGTGCAAACATCTTAAAAGGTGGTACCATTTTTTTGGTTTCAATCGTAAAGAATTATTTTTGGTTAGTTGTATTTATCGCCGTCCAGTTGGATAAACTTTAAGTGACACTTACAAGCTCAATCATTGATTGGTTTTGACTGTTTCTGCAAAAAAGAAGAAGAAGATGCTATAATGGGTTGTATATATGTGGACGACTTGCGCCTTTCAGCATGTCGTCTATGGAAATCACCTGTTCTGAATTAATCAAAGGGACTTACAGTTCAAAGAAAAAAAAGCGGTATCTATAATTTTTGACCGTGATTTTGTATTCCCCGGCAATATAATCCAGCTTGAAAACCGAATTCGGAATAAATTAGGCGGAAATATGAAAATTGATGGGAGTTCATAAATTGTATGTGCAATTCTGTACATTTGGGGGAAAATGAACATGTGTTATAGCACAAGCATTGTGGAAATCTGGGGAGATTATCAATAACATCTTTCCCAAACTCGGGGAAAATGTTATTACACATTTGCATTATACGACAGATTCATTAAAGAACTGGGAGTATATTAATATTCGGTTGGTACCGTGGATCACCCTCTAGTCCCACCGGTAATCCCTCGGTTTATTCCAGTGACGTCTTCCAGGTATATTAATCAGTTTTCCCTTATTATTTTCTCCGCAGATTTTTGATTCCAGTCAGCGGTGAGTGACCGGTGAGGTAGTGCCCGAAAATCTCCGGATGGATTTCGAAAAAAAGAAAGTTCCGACTGTAGGCTACAACTGACTACGGTAATTGCAAGGAGGTGGATAATTAATGGGGCATACGCCGGGCAACGCACCGACCTAATGAAGCCAGCTACTCACGGTTCTCCTAATTGAAGATGTTGCTCCTTATATCTGTGTGCCGGCGCTTCTAGACAACGGGACTTGGTTTCCGAGCAACGGGAGTGCAGAAATCTTATTAAGTGAAATCTGTATCACTTTTCAGGCTGGGTTAGCTATTTCACAGAAGATTTGATAAAAATCGATGTGCGCAGAATACCAGTGATATACAATGGCTACTACTGAAGTAGGTCCGACGCTGGTAACCTACATCTATGAATTTATCAATGAAACGATTGATGTCCTGAATGGTACGACGGCCAACCCGACTTTTGGACCAGAAGGGACGTGGCCGCCCCTCCCAGCTCACCGCTTGGAGGATTACGTGATTCGTCTGGTTCTCTACGTCATCATATTCGTAGTCTCCACCATAGGCAATGTCGCAGTGCTGGTTAGTCTCCTCCACGGGCGGCGCAGGAAGTCCCGCGTCAACCTGTTGATTGTGCACCTGACGGTGGCGGACCTAATCATAACTTTCTTTAACATCCCCATGGATTTTATCTGGATCCTGACCACACGGTGGTACGGTGGGGACTTTCTATGCCGGCTGTGCATGTATGTGGCCATGATAGGGCTCTATGCCTCACCATTTATCCTGATCGTCATCAGCTTGGACCGTTTTGCCTCTATTGTTTTCCCACTGAGCGTCCGGCAGGCAGACATGCGCTGTAAGATCATGCTGCGGGTCGCTTGGGTGGCATGTTTCGTTGCCAGTGGTCCTCAGGTGAGTGTCACAATCAGCTATTTCAGCAACATTATTATTTCGTTCGTCGCTATCCAATTACATTGCAACCATTATGCCTGGTTCAACATTTTTCATCTTCATTCTTATTATCACAATAATGTCAAAATTATACTAGGCATTCAGCATTGATTCTGCCATGCTTTGTTACTTTGTCAATTTGATATCATTAATGTTGCATCGCGGTAATGTTCTTATAAACACTGTTTGCTGACTTCTTAGTGCTTTCAAAGAACGTTTGGAAAAAGGAAGATGCTTCCGCGACTCAAAATTTCCATCAAATGTATTTGATTGCAGTACCTGCTGCTATAGGCCTTATTCTTGAGGAAGCCATTTTAGATCGTGTTCCCTGAATCTATTTTATAAATTGTAGACTGTTGAATGGGATGGTGCCAAACTATTTTATGATTGGAGTCTGTATCAAGCCTCACGTTCACCTGTTTTGAGTGTGTGTAAAATGTGCCTTAAAACATTAGGGTATATTGATCACAAAATTAAAAAAATTGAGCAGACTGGTTTTAATTTGTAATTAACTTTCATTGCTTCCATTTCTACACTCAAGTTCCAATAATTAAGAGTTTGCCTCGCTTTCAATTTAATATGGCCGACTTGTGAATAAAGTCTGTAGGTCGGCGCGGCATTACGTAAGCCGATGAAAACATATCTTTTCATTAGTTTTCATCGGTTAATGCTATGTGTTACCATTCAGCACTCCAGACTAAAAAAAACTGTTCAAAATTGAAAGTGGATCTGGGAACGAGATAGGCCTTAGGAGATTTTAGAAGTTCCTGGACGTCCGCGCGAACCTATACCTCATAGCAAACTTGGTGGTATATTGTGGGTAGACGTCTTCAAGTTTAATTACACATTAATTAGCAGATTCGAGCCGTACACGAACAAAGATCAGTTCTTAGGCATGTACTTCACGTTTTCAGACGTGATTCTAATACATGGTGTTAACAAAGTAAAGGGGACGAACCTGTGTTCACACAGGAACGGATCGGAGTGCCCACAATCTCACGATCATGAACCCTGTGCTCCAACGCTAGACCACACGTACACACGTGCTAACCAAGTAAAATTATGATATATGGCGTGCATTTTTTAACATTTAATCCAAAATAGAGATATCTCTATTAAGAATTGAGATATCTCTATTTATAATAGAGTTATCTCTATTGCTAATAGATATATCTCTATTATTAATAGAGATATCTCTATTAATAGAGATATCTATTGCTAATAGAAAGATCTCTATTTCCTCGATTAATAGAGATATCTCTACTAGCAATAGAGCCATCTCTATTAGCAATAGAGATATCTCTGACTATTAATAATAGAGATATCTCTATTGCTAATCATAGAGATATCTCTATTATAAGAAATATCTCTATTATTAAAAGAGATATCTCTGTTCCTAATAGAGATATCTCTATTTCTAGCTAATAGAGATATCTCAATGAGCAATAGAGATATCTCTATTAGGAACAGAGATATCTCTATTAAGAATAGAGATATTTCTAAGTCAGGTCCAAACTAGAGAGAAGTGCCTTTGTCATGCATGTTCATTTGAATGATTTAACTTGACTTGAGACTGAATGACTTGTGATTGTCTTGTGATGGAGGGAACAACCGAGTATCAAAATGGCCTGTATTTTTTATATTCTATGATCTACGACAGGTGCTGGTTCACGAGGTGATGTCCCATCCATATTACCCCGAGTATACACAGTGTGTAGATTACGGTTTCAGCGCACACCATCCCGTCGTCTGGAACGTTTATCATTGGTTTGTCGTCTGTGCCACGTACTTCTTTCCACTGGCACTTATCGTGGGATGCTACACGGCCATTGTGATCAAGATATTCGGCAACAGCACCATCCGCAGCTGTGAGTGGGCTTTAAAAAAGTATAGTTCCTAAAGATATAACGATTTGCTATATAGTGGTGTCACAAACGGATAAGAGTCTAAGTCATTGAAAATCAAAGAGGTTTCAAACCTTGGTGGCGGGTATACGTAGATCGTTAAGTATTTCAATACACTTTGAAACTTCGCCACTAACGCCACGCATATGCCTATGTGAACGTCTGGGTCCCAAACACTGACTAGTCTAGCCTCGGACTCGATCAATTGTCATCCATTCCCGGTATCAAATTTGACGATCAAACGAATGGAAATTGGGTTATTTATTTTTTAATCAATTCAATTCTATGGTTTTCAAAATGTACATTGAGGCATAGTGCTTCCTTTTCACAAAAGCTATCGGGTCAAAACAGGGCAAGTTCGAGCAAGGACCACTGGTTAACTAGAGGTTGGTTCGTGACGTACCTAGCGCATGCGCACTGAAGTTGAAGTGCGAACGACTTCCGTCGAACTATTGATTGTCATGTCAACGACCGTCAAAACATGGCGGTCGCACAATTATTCAACACTTGTTGTTTCTGTTTATTTACACAAATAATAGTGATTGTGTATAGCTTAGAAAATAGTGATTGTGCTTAAGGACATCTTACATAATCGCCAATATTATTGTACAATGGTGACAAAAGTGACATAATCGTAAACTAACATGGAAAAAATGTGTAATGAAAATTTGAGCGCTCACAGTTTCGTTCAGTCCATCATTTTTGTTGATAGTTGGTTCCCTCTGCATATATGCTATGGAAATTGCTATTGATAACCACATATAAATCGTTGCGCGACCAGCCGCGGTATAGGCTGGTTCCAAATAGTCGACTAGCGTAGTCACCCATCGTCGACTAGACTAGACTAGACATCGTCGACTAGACTAGACAGAGTTCGGGCTATCTTTAGTCGAACTAGGATTAACCATTGTCAACAATAGTTCTTGCACGAACTTGCCCACAGCTGAACACCAAACCAAAACATGTCCAAATTGGCATGACAAACTTGCTCTACCTATGTTCGCATGCCCAGAATCATACCTCGTTCATGTAAGCAGCTTGGATTGATTTGATCAATTCCTACAGATTCCGGTAACAACGGCAACAGAATGACGCTGCGGCGCTCGGGGGCCGACACTCTACCCAAAGCCCGCGCGAGGGCGCTCATGATGACCGGTACCATAGTAACGGCCTTCATCGTCTGCTGGACGCCATCTTGCATAGAGGGCGCTACCATCCACGTCAACCCCAAACTGGCCGAGAACGAGCCACCTTGGCTCAAGCAACTCTTGCTTGCCCTCATGTACTCCAACGTCTGTGTCGACCCCATAGTCTACGGCATGTTCACGGTGGACTTCAGGCGGTACTTCCCCAACTGCTTCGATTGCTGGGGTCGAAGAACGGTCTGGCGGGGGCGGAAGATCAGCCGACGGTCCACGACCTCGTCCAACAACTATCCGCAAATGACGTACGCCTCGTCAACCCGGCTGGGCGCCACCACTGGGGTGACTGCCAATTACCACGTGATAGAATCGGACAATAGATTAGTCGCTGAGAAATGTGTCTAGTGTAACTTTAAAAAAAAGTTGTAAAAATCAGTATGATACTATCGCACACTTTGTCAGTACATGTAGGCCTAGTTGCATGACCTTTGCACTGACAAGACAGGACGAGCACGTGAAATTCTTTCGCGACACCATAGTATTTTTCGCAATTGTCAGGTACTTTGTGATGACGTAAAATAACTATTGGCTATTTTGTGATCAAAGTGTGATAGTGAAAACACAGCGATATCGTTAAAAACAAACCACGACTGTGCATGCTCTTCTTGATCACCATAGCAACCAATGTTCTAAGACATGATGACTCCACTCTTTCCAAGGAGTACAGTGAGCCTCTCTTTTCAATAGGCGGAATTATAGGTGACCATAAGCAGAAACACGTTTACAATTGTACTAGTGTTGTATACACATTTTGCGGGGGGGGGGGGGGGGGCAATGGAGAATTGGTCAAAAAAAGAAAGAAAAGCTGCTTCCTTTTTTCGTCGGTGAAAAGATGTTTATAGGTACTGGGTACTGGGTCATGCAAGTGCCGATTTATGAAAAAGGGTAGGACTGGATACCCTTTAAAAAACCAACCCAACCGATGGGCGTCGCGAGGGGGGGGGGGAGGGGAGGCGCTTGCCCCCCTCCCCTGGAAAACGGGAAAAAGAGGTACAAAAAAGGAAAAAGACGTGCTTAGCCATAATGCAATTTGATGGAGGGGGGGGGGGGGGTAGGGCAAATGCTCCCCTGATCACGCTCGGACAAATGATAAATTGAGAATATAATGAAAAACTTAAGGAATTTTTGGGGAAAATTTGCTTTGCCACCCCCCCCCCCCCCCTCTGGAAAATATCATGGCGACGCCCATGTCCCACCCCTCTGTTCCATGCGCTGGGTGGGTACGCAACTGCCTCATCCAGAGAGAAAAGGGCTGCCAGAAACGAAACGTGATATGATTTCATAGGCCAACAAGTATGAGGTTTGCGAGTGAAAGATCCCGAAGAAAAGTGTGTTGCTATGTTAATTAATATTGTCCACACGTCGGTTATAATAATGGTAGACCTATAAAATATTTTAAGCAAATTCAGCACACTTTAGACAGTTTACGTTAAACAATATAGACAACATTGATGTAGACTAATGTAGCGTTTAACCATATGGGAATCCAAGTTCAGGGTTGGGAAGTGGACAGATAGATGTACGACATTCCCCCAAGACCCATGTCGGATGTCATATTGATTTGTAGCACCTGTGGTGCTGCATCTTTCTCTCACACAGATTCAGTTCTGTCGAGCGACCCTGGAGATAGCTCGGGTTGTCGAGTGATTGCACTGTGTGCATCTCGAGCGATATGCGCTTCTCTGGGGAAGCGTATCTCGCTCGAGATGTAAACCAAGATCTGGACGGAAAATCACTGTAAAATCACGGAGCATCCGTGACGGTCATGGTTAAGGTGATCACAATTCTACAGTAATAGCTGCGCCCTGGCTGGTCTATATCTGAGATAATACAGGTTCGCGTTAACGTTGAGTTACAAACGCAGTTTCGGGCAGACAACTATTTCATTAGACACTGTCCGGTTAAGTTAAGTTATAAATAATTTTTATGTCAGAACACAGGATCACGAACTTTAACCTTTCCGGTGCAGCCAATTATTTTGTTCGCAAAAAAAATGCACCTATTAGGGCAAACAAATACACTAGTCCGAACGAAAGTCAATTTTCATCGAACAAAAACAACATACTCGTTTTCCAGACGATAACTCTAGAAATGCTTCATGTATCGAACTGAAACTACATCTGGTGATTTGAACTGATATAATAACACGTATCTGTTGAATGTCTAAACAAATAGTTCACTCATTGAAATGATATAGCTCGAACAACCCAGTGTATCAGCGTAAAAAGAAAATACACTAGTCCGAGCAAAAGTAAACTTTCATGGAACAAAAACAACATACTCGTTTTCCAGACTATAACTCCAGAAATACTTCATACATCGAACTGAAATTACATCTGGTGATTTGACATGAAAAAAATCCACAAATATATGGAATGTCAAGAGAGGTTTTCAAACAATTGAAATAATATAGTCCGAACAACCCAATGCGTTCAGTTGGAAAAATACACTAGTCCGAACGAAAGTCAACTTTCATTGAACAAAAACAACATACTCGTTTTCCAGACGATAACTCTAGAAATACCCGATGCATCGAACTGAAGTAACATTTGGTGATTTGACGTGATAGAATAACAGAAATCTGTTGAATGTCAAGAGAAATTGTCAAACAATTGAAATAACAACCCAGTGTGTTCAGTGCGAGAAATACACAACATACTCTATTCATATTCAGGTACCCGCTGCTATCAAATTCGAACCAGCCAACCGCTCCCGTAAGCTCGGTGGTCGAGTGGTTAGACGTTTGCACTAGAAAGCAGAAGGTCGTGGCTTCGAGTCCCACCCGAGTAATTTTTTTCCAACTTTCACTCGGGAGGTAACACACTGAGTATACAGTGTTTATGCGTCGATGAATGGCAAAACCTGATTTTAACAATATACTCGTTGTCCGACATGCACAACAATTCCGCTTTCGAGTTGTATTCTATTTTTATTGCACCTCCGGTAACACCGGAAGTGAAGGTCAAGCGGTTTTGTGTCCGGGAATAAAAATTCTTGCCCGAGGCATTATTTACAACCTCACGCAAAAACGAATCTAAAGATATAGCTGAAACTATCTTCTCAAATTTGGCCCTTAACTTGCTTGTAGTTTGATGATGTCAGACTTTTTCAACATATTCGGACGGGGGTTCAATTTTATATAACTTTTTTTTCATAATCCCGTGAATCATTTGGAAGAAACTGGTTCGGTATGATTTTGAGGCTTCTGTCTATATTTTAAATTGACCTAACTTTGACCTTACAGTTGATCCGGAAGTAAAGGTCAAGCGAGTTCACGTCACAACCAACAAACAATGGTCTATCTGATTACAACGTATGAACATGATGATTATTTTGTTTGAGAGTTATAAGTGAAAGACCTTGTACATTTTTCAACGAGAAACGCTTGCAATTTGACACCCGATGACGTCATCATGACGTCACAGTAGTATGACCACTCAGGATGAGGGTTGATAAATGTTGAAAGTTACTGTTCCTTCCATAAACCGTTTAGGAGAAAATCCGCGGAGAAGTATTGTCCGGGGAAAAAAAAAGAAAGACAAGGAAGAAAGAAAGAAAGAAGATTTATCAAAACAATTCTAAACAGTGGTCAGGTTGTGCCCGACCACTTAATTAGTACTTGCATTACAGGCACGGGAAGCGTAAAAAGTGCAGATTTTTGTTTCGTTCGAAGCAACAAACTTGCTACAAATTTGATACTAGTCCTAACTGCACTGTAAAAACAATTCAAGGAACCTTATGCACCTTTTCGATTTTGGGGGAGGGGGGGGGGTTACATGTCGGAAAGTATTTTTTTCTGTTGGGTCTGTTTTGCAAGCGTTATTGGAAAGTCATGTAGTTTAGGACAATTTGACAAGGTATAGTTCAACCAAAAAAATATGTTGAATAAAGAAAAACAAAACAAAAAACGAAAGCTACATTTGTAGAGAATTTCTGCACCCGATAGATGAATAATGTGTTTTACATTATTTAGTAACACAGGATTTTACGATGCGCTCAGGTCTCATGGCTTTTTTTTGCAGACCCGGTCACTATTTTGAAATTGTAAATAATTGCATTGTGATAATTCACAATTTGTAAATAATTTTGACTTCAGGAGGAACAAAAGCTGCGATTGTTATGAAAGCGCGAGCCACAGATGCGCCTTTGTCTATTTTAATATTCCCAAATAAACCATAAAGGGAATAGGTGCATTAATATAATTTTGAAGTTGCACAAAGAAAATTACTGCATGGAGTTGGGTTTGAACGTGCGACCTTCGGATTGTCGTTCCAGTGCTCTACCAACTGAGCTATCCTGCCTTATGTTGGCTGTTTCCGGAACGGTAATCTGGAGGTCGCAGGTTCAAACTCCGCTCTAGTCAATTTCTTTGTTAAACTTTAAAATTACTCTATCATTTTTTGTATACCCAGTTTCACTATAGGCCTAGCTGAAATATTTATCGGAATGTAATTATGTAACTGTAATATATAGTGTACATGTTTAAAAAAAAAGTCACTAATGTAAAACTAATGTAAAATATCTTCTAAAAACTGTCACTTACATTATATCAAGATTGTCGATGGAGAGAACAAAATGGAGCGGTATGAAAGCTGTGAGAGTGAGTGAGGGAAAAGAGGGGAGTCGTATCAAAGGGTGCAAATTAACAAATAAATAAACCAGGCCAATAACATGATGGCTTTTTTTATTCTGTTTTCTTGTATTTTAAAGGGAGTATACAACATTTGGTTTGGCTCTAATTTGCAGAAATAAATGGATTTGGAGGATTAGTATGCTATAGAAAATATTGTTAAACTGACTTGTTTCATCTTTTGGGCTTGTAAATGCTGGGAAAAGTAAGAAAACCAATTTTGTTCTTGTAGTCTGGCTCCCTGGCCCCACTTAAGATGAAACGGAGCAATTTACAGACTTTGGAGAATTGCAAGGTCAGAGAATCAGTCTAGCAGGCTTGTACCCCTGCACAGGTGTGTAATCAATTGCAAAGAAAATGCGGAATAACTAAATATAAAGAATTAGGAGCAATTTTAGAAAAAAGCCAGTTTTCTCCAACGATGGTCGGCCGACCAGCGTTGGAAAAATACAAGTTTTCTTGAAAATGTCAGCAGACCAGGAGCCACGATTTTACAGAATGCTTTAGAATGTCATTCACTAACAATCCAGTAAGATATTTCGTTATAATTTGATCATTTCGTTTTTTGATGTTGTATTTTCCCTTTAAAGGGTCATGAGTTGAACTTTTCATAAGACACATTTTTTGCAACTCTCTATACCCAGAACTGTATGAAAACTATTTGACATTCCTTTTTGGTTAATTTTGTCGAGAAGAGCACCTCTTTAAACATTTCAAATTGTCCATGCTTTCCGGACAACTGAGGGCGCTGTTACTGTGTTGTCATTTCAGAAAGACACTGCACAACAACAGCAAAATGTCAAAAATTCTGGCAACTTTTGTTGCTGAAATAGCTGTAACATTGAGGTTTCTGCCGGAAATGACATCACACTTTTGCTCATGAGTATTATTTGCATTAGCATAAAACCAAAAAGGCGCCAAAATACCCTTGGAATTGGCAAAACGAAAATTGAAAATATGATTAAATGGGATACAAAGGCGCATTTTCAAGGATTGCATTAACAAATTTTTTACATTGCACTGACCGTTAACCACTCCAAAAGGTTATAAAAATGAATGTAATCCCAACCACTACCCCTAGACCGAAGGACGATCGCAAAACAAACATCGTCCATTAAGATTGGTTTTCGCATG